ATATTTAAACATTCCAAACAACACCACAGACACTAGATCAGAAGCATTATAATTTGTCTTAATGAAATTGGAGAAACTTTTCATAATAAATGTAGGCTTCCTTCGTAAAACACTTAATCGTGTTCCGTTTGTGATTATCATATGTAACATCAACATTCATTTTAATACTTTTTAATAAACTAGTATTACATATCATTCACTGTCAAATGACAATAATTAATGTAGCTTTTATAGCACATTATGTGTACCAAAAATAACATATGATACATCTTTCTATTAGAAATAGATATTTATATACCAATAATTAATGTAACAAAATTGTTAATATTATTAATAATTAATAATAAAAGATTATATTTTTGAATATTACATTATTACAAGTAGCAGTTCACAAAATAAAAAATTACCTACAATAAAATTTTCTAATAGAATTTTTACATATTCCTGTTTGTACACATAATGCACAAAAACTAATGTTAGTTTGTTAAAATAAAGATAAAACATCAGGTCCTGCAAAAAGTTTTATCGTATTTCGTATTGATGAAACACAATTATTTGACTACACAATAACTTTTATTTATTAAAATAAGTTCTATTATCAATGATTTTTTTTAATAATCTATAGATATCTTTGGTATAAAATTGTATCTTTTGTCAATAAAGTCTTTTGGCTAGATCACGGAAAAAGTGATAATTTGTTGAGAAAATATCAGGAAAATATAACAGATGAAGTTCCTACTATAAATCTTTAATCATTTGATTAAAATTATAGTATGTGTGATCGTGCATTATTCTCGAATAAGAGAAATCGTTCTTTATTTTGTTACAAGTTTTCGTGTATTTTACGTAACATCATCAAAAATATTTATTATTCAGCAAAAAGCTACTGACAGCCATTTCAGCAGAAAAGACTTTATTAATAGAAAAAATATCAAAAACTAGTTATACGCATATTGTAAATTAAATTGACACAATTCTATACTAAGGTATCTATGAACTAAAGAACGTCAATGAATATAATGGTTTATCAATAAAAATTATTATATACCATTATTATGGACCAAAAATCACTTCTTACTAAAATAAATAAATAAATTTGCGAACGTTCCGGCAATAAACATTTGAAATAAATAATTTTTAAAACATAATTAAAAAATCATGTTTGAACTTGAATTTAATTTAAAATTAATAAAATTAGTTTTTTCTTATATTTTGATGTTTTATTTAAAAAAATAAGTGGAAAGAAACTTGGTCCATTCTATACAATAACAATTGTTTTTTTACCAATATGAAAAACGATAGAACTTTTCGCGAGATCTCTGATAAATAAAAAATTTGACAATTGTTTTTATGGAAAAATTTTAATTAAATACTGAGGAATGGTATAAAAAACTTATTAAACATTCCTTGAAAAAAATTCTCCACAGATCTAAAATTTTGTAACCCACATTCTGTTATGCTTCTAAGTTTGTTGTAAATGTTATAAGGAATACTGAAATATATAATCGACAGTACTGACTAAATAACAGTACATACCAAATAAAGATATTTATGATCAAACATCAAAGTGCGAGGAACAAATGTTCAATGCACTAACCATAAACGTAAAAATGATAGTGTCATCACGACTTTTGAATAAGCGGTCCAAATTTACAAGCTTAACAACAATGAATAACGAGCTTATTCTATAGCTTTGCTCATGAATTCTATAAATCGCTTGCCATATTGTTCTGGATCACAGGTTGATATACCATCGACGTTAGCACCATACTTCACTGTTTTAGCTGCTTTTGCTGCTTGCTTACGCACACCATAATGAGTTAGCACATCAATTATGGCTAAAAAATAAATTTCCTTTGTAGGTGCACCTGGAATAAAATCAAATTCAGATGTTAATTTAAATGTTTATATATTAGTTATAAAAAATATATATTAGTTATAAAAAATATATATTAGTTATAAAAAATACCTTCTTTACTAGGAATCGCATAAATATCTAATTCAGGAATTATTGCATCTTCATATTGTAAACTTGTATCGCGTATCAACGCAGCATGTGGTGATTCAGGAGGCGTTGCCATACCTGCAACGCCGCTCCAACCCCATAGACGACTAATCAGAATATTAAATGTTATAAATTACAAAAATAAAATTTTACAAAATACAAAATACAGAAATGTAATACATACTCTCCCATTGGACCTCGGGAATCAAGTCCACTTCCAGACTCACTATCATCTTCTTCTTCATGATTATCCTCTTCTTCCTCTCTTTCAGCACGTTCTCTATTTTCTTGCTCGGCTCGTGCACAATCATGTAATCCAAGTAATAAGGAATAATCCATCAAATGCAATTTTGTTAAAAACTGTAATAATCAATTTATCAATGAATATTTATATTAAATAGAATAAATAATATATTAATATAATAATATATTAATAATTAATTACATAAAACAAATAAGAAATAAAACTCACGTCGACATCGGCGGTTAATGTTTCTATAAGTTTAGCTTTTGCTTCTTCGCCAATGTAAATTTTCGTTCCCTCTTTAACAAAATCATTATCTTTATAAGTAGGCAAATCTTTTTCCTTTTCTTTGTCAGATGCTTCACGATCTACCGTTGAGCCTTTTAGATCAAATTTTTTATGAGTAGTTAAATGATTTGAAAATACATTTCTTATGGCAACGACGTAGTGTTCAACTCCGTCTACTGTTAAACGGTACATGCCAAGATATTGAGGTAACAAAGTTTTTCCGTGCCTTTCCACGATATACTAATATATACAAAAAAAATTGTCAATTTTATTTGAAGAAGGACCAAAATATATATAGTTTAAATAACAATTCTACATACTGGATGATAATGTTTTAAAAATGAATACATCCTTTCTACTTCTTCCCTTGTAAGGGTTTTAATAATGAACAGTTTATCATAAGACTGATAAAATTTTGCACCACTTTTCCCAGATGAATCTTCTAATATGGGCTGTGATCTAAAAAAGATAAAAATAATAGTAATTTTTTTGTTTTCAATGTTAATTCAGCATAATGGCATAGTATATTATTTACTTCCAGCAATAAAAATATTTTCTCTTTTCTGATTCTCTGAAACACTATTAGTATACCTCTACCACATATATCAAAACATGCATATAAAAAAACAAATAATTATTTAAGCATAATAATTAACCAATTTTGATATTATTCATATATTATACTATTGCAACAAAAATAATCAATATATACATAAATACAATATATCCTATTAATATATACAAACAAAAAGAAAGTAAGTTCATGCTTTAATATTAATTCTAACTTTAACTCTTCTAAGGTTTTATAAACATTTAATTAAGAATATATAGTCTACATATAATAGTATAAAAGAATGTTGTACACGATTAAAAGTATTAAGTTGTTAAAAGTATCTGAAAATATTATAGAAGATGTGTACAGTCAATTGTATTCTTTTCAGCTAATTCTTTGTATTTAATGAATGATTGTATCTCATGAAAATGTTAGCCATAAGCAACACGCACAAAGTGAAAAATCAAGTCTAGCTAACCTCAGCCGCTTTGGTTTAAAACTGTAGGAACGTAGTGGTTTACTTAGGACTGGAATTTGTGAAAGAACAGGAGAAGAAGGAAAAATTATTGAAGGAGCAGTAGCAGAATGCTGAACCAATTTATGAGTCTTCCCATTCCTAGTCAAATTCCAATGCCTCTCTGATAAGGAAGGATTAAATGCCCGACATCTAGCATCAAAATTTTTGAATTACAATTTACTATCAACAATCCTATCTATATATAAAGAAATGAAATAGATTCTTTGTTTCTATATATGGTTATGTACATTTGTGTAACTGAAATATAATACACCAAATTTTATATACTAAAATATGTTAATGACAATACTATTATGCCTTTATTAAATTTTTTTTACTACATTTAAATTTATGCTGAAATAAAAAAATGTTTTTCTTATTTTCTTATATTTTAATACAAAATTAATTAATTTTTACTAATACCATGATATTTTTAATTACAATTATTTGTTTATGAGTCATTAAGTGGATTATTCTTCCTCCAAGTAAAGCACATAAATCTGCAATACTTTAGAAATAAGTAAATGTGCTATATAGCAAAATAAGTAAAGAAATATTTACTAAATTATAGTAATACATATAAATACTTTAAATATATATTACAGTTAAAGTAACATATGCAGAAAGCTATCACATAGAATAAAACATATCTTTGACATGCAATGCAATAAAATAAGATAAAAATTTTAAAAAATAAATTATACTTTACTTCTTGTTTGTATTGTACATCTAAAATAAGTACTGTATTTTATAATTACATTAATAATATTTTTCAATTATTCTCTGAAATGAACTTAATAAACTTAATTTCCAAAAAACATGATATATAATTCAAATAAATTACTTTTTACCTTGTCATTGATTCCTTATAGTCCAAATCATCTATACCAAATCTTTCCCGTAAATTTCTAAATACTAGCGGACAATATTCTTTAAACTTAAAATGTGAGGGCATATTTTCCCTAAAACAAAAAATAAAATATATGAGTAACTTTTTACTTGAAGATAACGAATTTTTAACATATGTAACAAGTTAGTTTTTAATAGAATAGTTAGTTTCAATAGAATATATATAATATATAGATTTAGCAATTTTTATAGATAGCTCTCAAACATATAAACATCCTTTAAATTAATAAATAGAACTATGAATATTTTTGTCATTAACTATAATTTCAGATCAAGAGGACCTTCATTGAGTCTATTATTAAAAGCAGTGACCAACCTACTAATTCAGTATTTAGCGATATATTTAGAATAGGCCATCTCAGAAAGTTACTTATTTTATATTTATATTAATAAATTTTTCTTAATATCAAACACATTACTTTTGTAATCTAATTCATCATTAAGTATAATATTTAATATTTCTTCATTATCCATTCTATATGTTGTCATACAATCTAATATAACTTACTTGTTAAAAAGATGATTATCCACTTTTAACTTGCTATAAGCTCTGAAATCATCTGGCAGGAGCACTACTGGTATATTAACATGACTAAGCTCATTTATCTGTAATATGTGTATGTCAGATGTAACATTTATATAAATACAATTTCTTGGATAAATTGATATTATGAATACCACCGCAAGAGAATAATTAAAAAGTTATTTAAAAATTTACTACACGGAATTATGTAGGAGAAGTATAAGTTATACCAAAATATATAAATAAATGCTTGTACATCTATTGCACATAAATTTATCAGATAAATTTTAAATACTGGGATTACATTTATATTCTATATACATGGATGTCATTATCCACAAATGTATATAGAAATAGTTGTATATTTTTCTTAAACTCTTACTAGAATTCTAGAGTTCTTAAACTCTACAAGAATAATTACATACTAAAACGTAATAGATTCAACTATGTAATTAAGTAATCCTTAACTTTCTTGAATCAATGATATATTTCAATTGATATATAAATTGATTTTTTATTTCATATAAAAATAAACTATAACAAATCATTACACTATATGAACATAAACAAAATTACCACACTGTAGTAAAAAAATTTATTACAGAGATACAAGTTTTTTGTTACTTCTAATAACTAATGAAAATTTATTTTATTTCCATACAAAATCTTTTATAATACTTTACAAATTGCACGAATACTTCAAATACATGTCCTCAATTTCGCAGAAAATTATCGGACTAAAATCGTATTAATGGTAAACGTAACATAGTATAAGGCAGCAATTTTAAATTTCCCATTTCCTACTTGGTTTGGACAGAGTGAAAAAAAAATGGCATTTCGATGACGTACGACGCTGTCACGCAGTTATATTGATACTCACCGTGTGATTGACACCCCACATGAAAACACTAAGAAGAGGTTCATTTGCACGAAACAGCTTAACCTTTTGATGTTTAACACGAAAATGTTTCTTTTTAAGCTTACTGAGCCCACTAGACATTTGTAGTGCACTGGACATGTTTCTTGTGCTGGTACTTCCTATGAATACTTCTATCAACACCCCCGTTGTACACTCAGTGAAGAGTTTCAAACAAATTTCTTATACTATCGTCATCGTAAAATGCCTGTATGGCATTTATCGTGGAAAAAAGTCACAAACCTGATGCAATATTCGCGGCGAGGTACCAAGTATACTCTACCGCGGTTGATTAGCGACTGAGCTTCTTTTAAAAATGGCGTGGACGACCATGTCCTACCTGCAACTTGCAATAGCTATAGAAACTTTGCGGATGTGCGAGTTGCGCCTTGGCATGATTTCTGATCGTAGCAAACAAATTTCACTTGCAGCAGAATTATCTTACAGGAAGGGAACAATAAATTCAGTAACACGGAGCAAAATAGAAAAAAAATTAATCACGTAATACAGAAATGTAACAAATATGAACTAAATAATAATGGAAGAAAAAAATTTAAATAATAATGTAAGATCGACAGAAAAAATGAGTCTGAAATATCAAGGAACATGATCTTTATCAAAAAAAGCAAAACATATATACATAATAACATATAAGAAGAGACAAGGTAAAAAGCACCAGAGAAAAATAAAGAAAGCAGCAGAAGTTGTAAAAAAGAAAGAAGAAAACATACCAAAATACGTTGCGGTAAAAGTAAAAGAAAAAGTAAGAAAATAAAAAATTAGAAAGCAGTAAAATTTAATAAAAAAAGACAATTTAGTAAATTAAAACTCATTATACTCATATAATACAATATATAGATCTTAATTAAGATTAGATCCTACTATATGAGATGATACTTGTTAAAAAGTTGTAACATTTATTGTGCATTGTACATGATACATTGTATATGGTACAATGGTACATGGTACAATGTACATGGTATATAGTACAATCTCTAATGATTAATACTTTCTAGAACACAGTCTATAAATCATGGTCTATAGCCTATGCCTATGGTCATAAAATAAGAATATTATAAGTCAAATTTAGAAGCAGTACAAAATAAAAGACAATATATAGGAAAATCATCAACTATTTATATATTTTATATTTTTGTATGTTTATGAAATAACTTATAAATTCTATAAAGTATAATTAAATTATATTAAAGTATATTATTAAATCAAATATAAGAAATAATGTTACAATAGGAAAAGGTAATATAAACGATAATAAGAAAAATATATATAAAAAGAAAATCCAATAAATTGAAATGTAAAATTATAAATTTTATATTCTGTACCAAAGGATAATGAATGCCAAAGAGAAAGTTCGAAATAGTTCGAAAATGGTTAGATAATAGTTTATTAAACAATGTAGAAGAAGGAAAATCTAAAGTGCCACCCTTTAATTAAAACGTATTATTATTCTATATAACTAACTAATTTGTATATAACTAAAGAAGAAATAAACAAAATTAAAATTGAGATTTTCTGTTTCATAATAATGCAAATTGCAAAAATATCGAACAAATTTTACCTAACTTTTCACAAAATTTGAATTTATTTGAAACAACTTCGATTACTGTGCAAATTATAATTACATTACTGCAAAGGATTAAAAAAAAATGATAATAATATTCTTATAACCTTTCAAAATAAATTATTTTTGAATTATATATTTTTTGTTAATTATAACAAATCATATAGAAAGATTATATTACATAAAGTTACATACAATATTAACGAAAAATTAAGGAATAAAACTTGCAACTGTTTTTATTTAAAACATATTTTAACAGATATTTTCTTTTATCAACATGTCAGTTTTTGTCCAATTTATAATTCATATATTTATATATAACTATGAACTTATATATTTTTATAATTGAAATTCACCGCAGAAAGTTTAATATCGCATACAACCAAATAATGTAACTTTCTCGCATTTAAAGTCAATTTCTAATATATTAAAGCGTTAAATAATTAATTGAAAATAAAAAATGAAAAATAAAAATAAAAAAGCATTGAATGTTAAATAAATAAAACTTGTATTTGTTAATAAATAAAATCTGCCGACAATTTTCGATAATGCGGACGATTTGTCGTGGTAATGCGGACGCGTCGTAACGCGTGCACCAAGAAAGCCGCCACTGAACGTCGTGCTAAAAAACTCATTGAAATATTAAGTTGTACGTTTGAATATAAAAATGGAAACAATGTCTAACCCTTATCCAAAAAAAATGCACGATACTTATGAGGATGAGGAAGAGAGAAAACATTTTCAACGTATTGTCTCGGCTTTCAAATATTACAAGTAAGTATATCGTGAAAGATCATTTTGTTTGATTGACTTTTAATCCTCGAGTCGATGTTTTGTTCTTATCTTTATTGCCTTTATTCTATTGCCTTCTTAATCGTATATAGTACTTCGGATAATTTTATAAGGTGTCGATCATGATTTTTTTGATAATCATTACAGATTCTTATTATCATCTTAACCTTCAATTATATAGCACTGCGATATATTTCATTTGCAGTTTTATAGTTATTCTATAATTATGGAAGTCAGCGCTCAGATTGTGTTACAATATAATTTTTTTTTTTAAATAAAGACATAATGATTTGAATTTAACAGAAAAAATTCATAAACAAATTTTTCAATTAAAATACATTAGCCAACTACTGCCCTACTAAAATCAAATTGATAACCGTACAACTTAAAACGATGAAGTGTAAAATTTGTAGTGGATGTAATTGTACTAATAAATATTACTTATATCATAATTTTTTCTTTACAGAAATCATTCATTATTAAGGGTTAAGAAAACAGAATCCTATTTGCTATCACTTCCAGCTCATCATCAGAAACTGTTATCGAAGTATAAAGAACATCTACAAGAAGTTAAAAGGTGTATTGAAAATAATGATGAGATAATCAAACTTATCATAAAAGATGTAGCACATATTTTTGAAAATGTGAGCCCAGCTACTGCACAGACTGACAGTGTAAGAAAAGTTCACCTGGTGTGTGGCATGTATATTCTGTTGTACAATATATGTTTTTAAAATTATGATTAATTATTTTTATTAACCTTATTAAATATAAACATACTTGTATTCATATCATCATATGATATTTTACTTTGTTTTATCGAAAACAGATACTTCAAAGTTATATTTATATGTTTATTTAACTGACGATTAACATTGTAAAAGTCTTATGTCTTATGTATAAGATTTTATTGTTATAACATTATCTTATTAAGAACAAATATTTAATCTATTTCTCTCATTCAAGCTTGGATTTTTTTATCATTTTAACAAGCTTCTTTTTTTATAAAAATATATTCTATTGTACAAAATATAGGTAGGTCTAATTGCAGACATTAAATCCTCGTCCAGTAATGGCTGATCAAGAAAAGGTCCAAGCTACAATTAAACAACTGGTTCGTGATTGGAGTGTGGAAGGTGCTGAAGAACGAATGGCTTGTTATCAACCTGTTATAGATGAAATTATGAATCAATTCCCTGTAGACTATTGGTATGAACTTTTTAAACTTTCTGATACATATCAATAAAACATTCCATTAAAATATATTTAGAATAGCTACAGTGATATTGTAAGACATAGTTCAGAAAAATATGAAATGATAGGTAAATTTCCAGTACACCATCAAAAGTGCAAATTCTAGTACCTGGAGCAGGTTTAGGAAGATTAGCTTATGAAATTGCGAGACGTGGATATACTTGCCAAGGAAATGAATTTTCCCTTTTCATGCTATTTGCATCTCATTTTGTATTAAATAAGTAGGTAAAAATTAAATATTTTTAATAAATATTTTAAATATTCCCTTTAAAACAAATTTTTTTAACAATATTTAATATTTCATAGATGTAGGGGAGTAAATTCATACCAAGTACATCCGTGGGTACATCAGTATATGAATAATTTAAAACCTGAACATCAAACTCAAGCTGTGTTCTTCCCAGATGTAAACCCTAGTGATCTTCCAGAAAATGCACAGTTCTCTATGGCGGCTGGAGATTTTCTGGAGGTAAATATCATGATATATTAAAAAAAAAAAATACTTTAAAAATTTCTATTTGCATACTTTAGGTGTATACAGAAGACAATCACTGGGATTGCATTGCCACGTGTTTTTTCATAGATTGTGCAAATAATATTGTACAATTTATTGAGACTATCTACAAAATTTTAAAACCTGGAGGTATATGGATAAACCTTGGACCACTATTATATCATTTTAGTGATATGCCAATGGAAGATTCGATAGAACCAAGTTATGATGTAGTTCGTGATGTGATTCAAGGTTTTGGATTTCAATTAGAGGTAACCAACTTCGTAAAATAATATTAGAGAGCTTTTATAACTTATAATATTTTCAGAAGGAGGAAACGCGTGTAAAAACACGATATGCACAAAACATTAATAGTATGTTGCAATGTGAATATAACAGCGTATATTTCGTTTGTCGAAAACCTAAAAGACACATAGATAATAATATAAATCATAGAAATGGTACTGAAAGTAATGGTATGCAAGAACAAGAAAACTCATCAAATTGATGACTTCCTGTATTTCACTTGTAAGAAAAATTGATATAATTGTAAATGCGTTACATAATAGGTTCATTACTACAAAAACAAAGCTGTTATACTTTATGAATCAAGTCAATATTAGGTAATTTGAATCTAAAAAAAATAAAAAAAATCTTTAAATATTGTTAAAAGTTAAGCTAATATTTTTTTATCTAGGATTTTATTTCACTATATGTAACTACTAAATATTAACAGCTCTGTTGTTAACATAATGGATAATAAAAATTGCGCAGTTATTTTTTTAAATACCGACAAAAATTGATTCAAGTTCAAAATGATTCTTTAACAATTTTGCAATTTTTCTTTTTCTTTCAGTTTTGATATTTGTAATTTAGTATATTATTAATGTTTATTGTTTAAAATATTTATCATATACCGTGATGATACAAAATAAAAGAAGCTTGATTTGGTTGCATATATATACTATGCAATATTCTTTTTTAACTGGTTTGAAGACAAATTTTATTTTAATTATTAAATTTATCTTACAAACCAATGTTGCCTTGTATAATTTTGTGAGTTACATTAATATGATAAAAAGTGCAATTCTATAATTTGGGTGTTTCTTATTATAGTGTTCATTATTTCTTCTATTTCTTGAAAGATATATTCAAGTCACACAAATATCATTTGCTTCAAAATTGTTTATATTAACAAAATGAGTAGTTAATAACATTTGAAATTCAAATATGCAGGCTACAATTATTATAAAGTGAGCCTAATGATGTAATTTTTTTATTAAAAATACGTTTTTGAAAATTTGATCAATAAATTTTTGTCTTATATAAAATAATTTTATTTCAAAATATCTTTAGTACAAAAATATGTTAATTAATGATAAAATACGCTAATATTTTGCCTATTTATAAACTTTTATTAAGATATTGTACAAATAATGATGCAATTTGATTAATTTCAATTTGTTGCATTTTACTATAAGTTAAAAATTGTCTTCGTAACCTCATGAGCTGTGCTGCAGTACATGAGTTTTGTACTGTTAAATTACAACCTGGTATTTTAAATTCATTTTTAATACCCAATTGCTTAGCTGATAATATCGCCTTCATCAAAAAAAAAGATATAGTAAATGAAAATGTGTTATAATCTGTTATAATAATGTTTATGTTGTTTAATCTCATATTATTTACTACAAATTTTATTATACTTGGTTATTAAGTGAAAATTTTTGAATAACTTACGTTAATTATTTCTTGAGTTATTGTATCCAATTCATATAAATAATTAGTCGATGATAATGGTGGCTGAAATATGATATAATTAATCAAATTGATAATTTAATTTAATTATCTTAATTTAATTCAATTCATGCACCAATACTAACACACTGTGTACTTAAATTTGGTTTTGGTGCTTTTACTTCATACAACAATTTATAAATTTCATCGAATTTTAATTCATCCTCTGCTGATATGGCAAATAATGGTACGTCCCAACGATTTTTGCTGTCTGGTATTTCATACCTATACGTTTATAAATCTCTAATGACATTCCATTAAAAATGATAACAAATTTTAATTACCTCATTACAAGTGCATCAAAAATTTCTCTATTATATTTTTCATACTCTGATCTTCTTTTATTCCACAACCAAGCATGTTCAATCGGTATATCACAGAATATTGTACACTGTGCAGTTTTATATAATTTTGTTATGCAATAAATTTCATAGCGATATCCTTTAATATAATTACTACCATCAATAATTAATATATCATTTGTATTTAACATTCGTTGAGCCATTGACTTTATGTCACTTCTCACACTCTTTTCGCTTTTAGAATCTACAAAAGTTAGCAAAATGAAAATAATTTGTATGTTCTGCTTTAAAAATGAAATTAAAATAAGTAGTAAAATAAAATAAAATCTAACCAGCATAAAATTTATTTTTATCAAAACCTCTTTTAGTCACAACATCAATTTCATTTATAACTTCTACATTTTTTCCTTTATTTACAAAATATTCTTTTAATTCGGAAGTGCGTGTTGTTTTACCACTGCATGGTATACCGGTAATAATAATAAGTGGCATTGTAAAACTTCTTTTTTAATATAAATCGATATTTTAGTATTTCTAATGATATTTCTAAATACAGTCTTGCGATACATTTACATGTGTAATAAAATAAAACAAAATTGTAATAATATATACGAATTTGTAATGAAATTATATAAAAACATACAACAAAAATAGAAAAACATATAATATTACGCAAATATTATAAACATATAATAAACATGTATATAGTTAGTATTCACAGATTAACAGATTTAATATTATGCTACTGCGTGAACTTGTCTTTAATATAATCGCGTGAATTTAGCTTCGATAGATCTGAATAAATCAGGCGCGAAATTTGAATTAGCCGAATATATCTACAAACAGAAAATAGTATATTGCGTAATCAAATAAGAGAAAAATAGAGCCTGGAAGATAAGAAAATACTTTATTAGTTTAACTTTATCTATTTACATACCAATTAGCAGTTCTAGGATAAGAGCTTTAAGAAGACTCTCTTATGTGTTTTACTTTCTTCCTCATGTGCACGTGTATAATTCACATTTTCTCTATTTTTCTTATTGTTCGATGAAGCCGACCAAAAAGCGAATAAGCCTAGAAAACAAAATTTTGATGAATGTCGTGGAAATTCATCTATCATTGAATTAGAATAATTAAGCGCAGAGGCGGTAAATTTCTTTCCCGTCCTGGGCTCTACGAGCTGCTTATTTAGTTTACCGATTCGTTCAGCATGAAAATTAGTTTCCATTCTGTGCAGTCTTTCCTGCCGCAGTGCACCATACAAGCAGCTTTTCCGATCTTTAAATTAATTAAGCCAAAGCCAAAATAAAGAGATCGATAACCGATCAAAAAAGTAGAGGCATGGACCACGGCCGGCCCGCGGGTTACCAGTTTACCACCTCTGACTAAGGAAATCTAGATCTAGAAAAAAGAAGAAAAAAGAGGACGAGTTTTCCAAATTATATCAATTTTGTTTATGTTTGACAGATATTCTTATTTTCCGAATGATATATTTATTAATATTCGTTTTTGAACAAGTAACAGTTAAAAATAATAATAAATATATTTCCAATATTTATACATTCCGACAAGCAAATTTGTGTCCAACGCTCCATAGACACAAATTCATTTGTATACTTATTTACGTTTTCTAAATCTAAGTTACTATTAGATAGATATATTTAAAAGGTTTAAGTTTCTTCTGAACGTTAAAAATGTAATATAAAATGTAATATAAAAATCAGCGTTATAAATTTAATTATTGAATTATTGTATAAATTTGGATTATTGTATGATAAAAATTTGAGAAAAAGATAACAAAGATGAAATAAAAATTTTATAATTAAATAAATATTGAAGAGTAAAATTCTAGTTGATTCCAAATTAATTTTCGTTATTTTATTGCATTTATACAATATAAAAATGGTACATAAAATATTGGTTATCTTTTATAAAAAATGAAAATTTATTAACATGTTTTCTTTATTATGTAATGCATAATGTACTTGCATCAAACTTTAATACTTATTTGCATCAATTTTATTAATACTTCCATAGATTTATGAGTGTAAATATATACATACATATTACCAAGATTTTTGTTTAGTTAAAGTTCTTATCTACATTTTGATATGATACTACAAGAAAAAAGAATTTGATTTCACATTTATAGAATGAAACATCACATACATATATTTTTCTTGTAAATTAGATATATATTGAAAACCTATCACTAAATATGTAATACAGATTTGAAACATGTGTTCATAAAAATACACAAAATTATTTAATGATGCTCTATTATGATTTAAATTAAAAATATCTTAATAGTTTTTTCCTTGTAATGTACATGTAATGTTACATTTAATTAATTTTTGTCAATGAACACATTCATTTATACATATTGTGCAGTATACAGCAATTATTATTTAATGTGCTAGATAGAATTTTTTCCAATTCAAGTTTTATGCATGCAATGTAATATAAAATAAACCATATACATCTCACGTATCTAAAGAAACATTACTTGAAAACGTTTCTTTTCATATTTTTGATATTTCACATAATTATTTAACTCAAATTATATATTAAAATTAAATTTAAGCAACGTTTTGAAATAATTTTTCTGAATTGTAGATGCATTTTCAGTATTTAAAAATCACGTAATATAGACAATATAAATTAGTTTAATAATGGAAATGTAGTTCAGTAAATAATGAAAATTATAACTGAGATGCATTTTAAATGCTACTATTCAAATCAAGACGTGGCCTCTTGCTGTGAACTGTAGCAGCATCATCTTCAGAGTCACCATTAGCAGATAAAATATCACGTTTTCTATCAGCATGCTAAAAAGAATATAATTGATAAATAAATTTAGTCCAAAATACGAACAAAAAATTGTTTATAAAAATATATGTAAGTTTATACATTTTTATCCCAGTGTTGGTGAAGATACCTTAGCAAAATAGTTGTTTTTTCTGTTACTATAACTGAAAATAATAACTATAGTTATAATTATTCATTCTAATATTTACTACTGAACTATAGAAATATATTAAAATTATCTTACTTTGTTCTGAAGGATGATCTTTTGTAGGAAGATAAACTGAAGGTTTTTTTACACAAGTTCTGTTTCCACTATCTGTGTGAAAATTAGCAAAGTTGTTTTCATTGTGTGAAGGTAAACCCTTTAAGAACTCAGCAACAGACTAAATAAATAAATCAGAATTATAATTGAATTAGGGAAAATTAATAATTAATTTAATTTTTTAATAAAAGTTTACTAAAAATTCCTGACATTCATACAGATAAAGTAAAATTTATTGAAAGAAATATTCACAAATTGTTTTATCTCGTATATTATCTTATGATAACTACTACAGGAAAATTATTAGTTAAATAATTTAAATTATTTATTTAAAAATGATTATTAAATATTTAAAGGTAATCTTACTAATGAACATTACATCAAAGACATGTAAAAAATAATTATTTTTGACAACTGAAATTTGGGTTATGATTATTTGCTTTCATAACATTCCGACATAAATTGTATATAACCTAGAAATCACCTCATAATGACAAACAATTTGTATAAGATTTAAATAAAAATTATATCTTACCATTTTATAATTATCTGACATATCACGTTATTAATCACCTGATATATTTTTTATTTTTCACTAGAGAGGATTAATCTTTAAAGTTCTTTAATTGATGTGAGATCAACTGCCATCATTACGACAAACAACCACAGAATTCAAACTGTCTAGATCTTATTTCTCCTGCTAGTTAATGATATAAGAAGTAACAAAAAACTATGTCATAAATTTAAAGTGGAAGAATAGAAAATTCTTCAGCATGTCGTACGTTATAAAAATATATTTAAAAATTGCAGAATAACTTTCTCTTTTGTTTTACAATTATGCATACTTATTATTTAATAAAAAATTAAATTACAATATATACATCATTATAAAAAGTAATCCAGTACAAAAATCTATAAATAACTTAATAACTATTACGATAATACAGTTTCATTGTTAGTTTTCTCTTTCTTCTCATTTCTCAAAAGAGAAACAATATGTAATGTCGTATAACATTTTTTATAACATAAACATAACCTAAAAAGATCGTGGTTACCGAAATGAAATTATCTTTTGTTTAAAAATTAATATAATGTATAAGAAAAAATGGAAGAATTTAAAAAAACTTGATGATAATAGCTACGAACTTGAACCAGAAACAGTTAGAAGGACACAATGCTTGCTAAAAACTAATTTTTCGCATATGGCATTTGATTCAAACGAAGAACGTTTTATTGTAATTGATACAACAGGATATTTATATTATATCGATTTATCGAATAGTTGCCCTTCCTATCAAAAATTGGGAAATATTGGACGTGCAACATTTGTGGCATTTAATCCCATAAATAAATTTGAAATATTGGTTGGTCTTACTACAGCTGACATTAAAATATTGAGAATAAACAGTGATGTTTCTCAATTTTGCTTATTAATTGCTCATAAGATACCACCAATATATGTGTCTTTTTACAAAAACTATTGTTTAACTTTTTCATGTAAAGAAGCTATAATATGGTGTTTATACTCTTGTAGTAAAGCTCAACAATTAAAAGTTTGTTCAAGAAATTCTATGATAAAAAAGGCAAGTTTTTCAAACTTAGGGCATATTGTTGTTCTATATTATAATGATATTTTCCAAGTATGGAATTTCAATCAATTGGAAAATAATATCAAAGTTGATGCAAAGCTATTTGGAATACAAAATATTAAAGACTTCATTTTTACACAAAATGGGAGAGCAATGATTATAGCTAATGCTCAAAATAAAGTTGTCATTCTGAATACATGTAACTGGAATTTAATGAAAACGTTGAATTTACCAGAAAATTTTATTGGAGCAAAATGCTTATTACTTGTACCATCACCTTTGGATGGCGGAGCAAACAATATAATGGCATATATTTCATCAAACTGTAATCTTTATTTCTTTGACTTAAACCAATCCTGTATTATCAATACTCTACAGCCTGTTAAATCAATAAAAAAAATTGTTGTTTCTCCGTCTGGTAGTTACATAGCATACATAGAAAAGGAAGGTCATCTTAAATTATTAATCTGCGAAAAACTATTTTCAAGAAAATGCGAATCTTTGCAAAAATTAACAGAACCAAGTAAACCACTTGCACATGGAATACATGATCACTTACAATGTGTTAGGAAGAACATTAAACATGAATTACGTCTAGAAAGATTAATGCTTATTTTAAAAGAATTTGGAGAATATCCTGAAAAATATCGTATATTAATATGGTCAACTATTTTAGACTTGCCAGCTAATAAAAGTGCATACAATGCCTTGGCTAATAAAGCTGCTAGTACAAATTTTACTTCAAACATTTTGAAGAATTATCCATTAGCTAGTAAAAGTAAACAAATATTATTAATGACAACAGTTCATTATTTAATACAATGGTGTCCTTTGTTAATACAATGTTCATTTTTACCAAACTTAGTTTACCCGTTTCTTATGGTCTTTCAGGTAATCAAATAATTCATAATATAATAAAATAATACAGCAACACAGCAGAAATTAACAACTTTATTTTTATTACAGAAAGATATATTACTTAGTTTTGAATTAATTATAAGTATATTATTGAACTATTGTCAAAAATGGTTTGAATATCATCCTTTACCACCGTTAAATGTGTTAGGTATAATAGAAAATATTCTTTTACAAGCAGATCCATCTTTGTTGAATGTTTTTTGTGAACAAGGAATAACATCTAGTGAATATGCATGGCCTCTTCTAAAGACTGCAATGAGTGAAGTCTTATCTGGTCCTGAATGGTTAATTTTATGGGACAATCTAATATCCTTTAAAAAACCTTCGCTTTTATTGATAAGTATTGTGGCATATAGTATATGCTCCCGTGAAATTATCATTTCCTCATTACAAACACAAGAAAATATTAAAAAGTATTTTATTAAACAAGGTCATATTAGAGCACAAGAATTACTAAAAGTTGCTCAACAACTTGATAATAATTTACCATTAAGAATACATCCTAACCATTATCTCAGGTAAAGCAATTTCTTTTTTAATGCAATATTGTTTTATTGCTATATTATAGTATTATTATATTTCCTAGGAATGAAATAATTACATTACCATCCAAGACACCATATCCATCTATTATGTCACATGATTTTCCGAAATTTTTAACAGACAAAATATCTATTTTTGAATTAGAAAAGTTGAAAAAAAGAAGACTCGTGCATGAACACAAACAAAAAGCTATAGAAATTACAGAAACGAATAGACTAAAACATGAAACAAAAACTTTCATGGATCAGGTCAACGAAATAAGATTAAATGGTACGTACATTCTTATAATATTAGTACATAAATTGAATTGAAATAACAATTCAAATTTCAGAGGCACAGAAATGTTTCAAAGAACAGTTATTTGATTGGGAAATAAGAACAGCTAAACAAGAACCAGCGAAAACATGCAAAGTTAGTCGTGAACAAATTTGTGATCAATTTCATGATACCTTACATTTAGATTTAGATACTACAAGTGATAAAGATATTCTAGATTTGAAAAGCAAAAAAACAGAACGACTGCAAAAAGATGTAGACAACTTGGAATATGAAGTACAAAGTTTTTTAAATTCATTAAGATCTCAAAAATCAAAAAATAATTAATAGTTAATGTCGTTTATATATTATAGAATTGTTAGAATGGCATTGTTAGAATTGTTACAATGACGGAATTATTATTTCTTTTGCATTACGCTTGTAAAAATAAAAATTTTAATATAATAAAATGTCATGTAATATTCAAAAGTTTGTTGCGAGTTATACAAATTTATTATAAAATTTTTATACAATATTTACAACTTGTAAATATTATAAAATATCTTTGTACAGTAAATTACAAAATAATAAAACATTTTATATACAGATGTATTTTACAAAAATATATTTTTTTTTGTTTAAATGCTTTGCTTTGAGAATGTTAATAATATTGCATTTAATATTGTCTAGAGTTGAACGAAAAAATTGTGCTTCCACATTACCTCACAGTAATGGTTAATCATATTGAACAAATGAGTGGACAGGTATACCAAGCTTTTCTCTCCCTTTTAATCCAGATAATTCAATTATTGTTAAACATTCAATCACTTCAGCTCCACTTAACTTTAATAACTCTATTGCAGCTGCCATAGAACCTATAGATATTATTAATGAAATTCATTTTTTTACTTCCAAGATGCTGAAAAAATTTATGTTTCTGTATTATTATTTACCTCCTGTTGCTAGTAAATCATCTATGATAATTGTTCGTGCTCCTTTTTTTACATATTCTGTCTGTATTTCAAAAGTTGCCTATATAAATAAATGAAATTAATAAATAACATTTAGAGCAACATTGAAATAAAATTAAATTTTGTTTTATATATTAACCTCCCCATATTCAAGCATAAAAGCATGTTGCACAACATTTCCTGGAAGTTTTCCTTTTTTCCTAATTGGCAAAAAAGGTTTTCCTAATTCCATGCATATAATTGGCCCAAGAAGAAAGCCTCTTGAATCTAAACCTACGACTAAATCAACCTCCAAAAATAAGATGTGTTCCACAATTAAATCTTTCATTGCTCTCATTGCTACAATGTTGCGGAATATTCCAAATATATCCCTGAAAATATATAATAAATCATGAAATATAAGAACTTAATTTCATAAACACATACAGTTAACTTGAAATTAACTATATAATATTAATAAATAAAAAAAATGTATGATCATTTTATTGCTTACCGAAATATAATACCAGGCTTAGGAAAATCGGAATAACTGACGATTGCATCTCGTAACAATTGAATTTTTTCATTTTTATTCATATTGGGAGATTAATGATCACAAATGATACTGCACACGATGTATTACAGAAAACAATAGCCAAATTTTCGTTAAACTTTACTTTAGAAAACCAAAAATTGGACCTTTTCTTTAATCTGATTAACAAGTTTCAACCAGAAATGCAAGGGCGAGGAGATCACTGGTTCAAAAGTAGATTTATCGTCTACAGTTTAACATTTTTTATCGCTTTTGATAGGGCAATACGATGATGACTCTATATTGTCTTCTAACCATATTTCGTCCAATGAGCGAAGTTGCTAACTGTAGACAGACGTACGTGAATGAGTCTCGTGATAAATATATACAGTAAAATTCTGTTTATGTGAATTTGTTGGAGAATAAATAATTTATGTAGTTGATGTTCATACAATAGCCATTCACTGATTCTCCTCTTTGTTAATAATTTTTTGTATATAACAAGAATTCACGTTCAAATTACGTCACGAAACGAAGTTCTACTCTATTTATCATTATGCGTTTTGCACATATTTTCTTTTTCCGACCTGACAAATAATTGACCAATTTGATCGATATCAATTTTTTGTATGCCTTTGAGATTTGCACAGCTTTCGCTTACGCTTGCGTTTCTCGATATATCTTCGTTATAGAATTAAATTTGGCATATACGTCATTTTTGAATCATCGTTTCAACAAATCTTTGAATAAAGATTTATCTATAAATGACACGTAAAATAAAGTCGAACTGGTGGCCAGTAAAAGATTGGATAAGAGACAGAGGCCATATCATAATGACAATTTTATCACCGATCACCTATTTGATTTCTGATAACTGCGATTTCGCCATAAAAATAAAAAATAAATTTAATTATGATTATTAAGACATATGTTATTACGTACATTGCGTTATTATATAACGTAATGTTATAATTAATTAATCCTTTCGAGACTATTGGAATAGTACGTTCCAATATAATTCTCTATGTGTCTATTGAGATATGTCTCCAGCTGCCTAATAAACAAATTTTTTTCTTACCCACGTAAATATATAATTTTCCTATCAGCATTGAGACTTATTAAGATATGTGATCCCAATGTAAAAACACTGATGGAACGATATATTTCACTTTCGAAAATATCTTAAACTTAATTCTTTTTTATACATGAATATACAATACTATAATAATTATTGCGTTAATTGTCAAAAAAAAATCTTTTATTTAGGCTTATTTAACTTCGTAATAACTCACTAATTTTATAATATAATTTTTAATAATTCACAATAATAAATATAGGATTGAATTTGTCATAACAAGCAGTACATATCGTACTATAAAAAAAAAAACGAAGAATTTAACTTTGTAGTTTCCCTCAAAGTTGTTGAAGTTGAAGTTTCCCTATTTTATATCTGTGCAAACATGATGTGCCGGTTTATACCAAACAACATTTGTAAAAACTTTTTTTTTTTATAGGTTCAATCTTTTATAAGATATTTCGAATTTGCGAGACAAAGAAAACTTCTTGTATACAAGACAATTCATTCTGAATCTACTAATAGATAAAAAAACGTCATATCTATTTCATAGATATTCACAGATATGAATTATCTACTTATCATCATTCACGTTTATAAAAATATTTTAATTAATTTCTTTCAATACTTCTAAATAAATGTAAAAAATCAAATATACAGTAAATTTTTCATTTAAATTTCTATCAATAATTGTTTCAAATTATTACATTCTTTTATTAATCAAGTTTCGTTCAATAGATAAGTTCCGACACAGAATTGGCAACATTGTCTATATTCTTTAATTTTAATTTCTATCACTAGTTAGTCAATAGTAGTAGTGTTGTTTATTGTAAAAATTAAAATTTGTTTAAATTGGTAAGTTATCTCATTGATACAAAAATAGTAAGGGTTTATACAAAAATGCATTGAATATCATGTCTATAAAAATTGATCTCATCTGTAAAAACTGACCAACTTGAAATTTGAGTTCGAAACTTTATAAGTATTCGAAACTTGAAGTACTGATTTTATTTCCTTCTAAAAACTGGAGTCAATACTTTTATATAAATTTTTATTGGCCACAGTTAAACAAAAATATAACAATGTAAATAAATAAAAAACATACAAAAATATCTAATCCAGATTCTTATTTGAAAACAGTAACATTTTTTTTTTTATTGATTACAGTGCTGTATTTACTGAAAAGTCTTTCAGAGTATATTGTTAATGACGGTGTAATAAGATACTTTTTTTTTTATTCTTAGATATTTTGGATATTTTATATTATTGTTATTATTGTTATAGATTCTTAGATATTTTGGATATTTTATATTATTGTTTCAGAATTCGCATATCTATTTAAAACATTCGCATATCCTTAAAAACAAAAACCGAGCACCAAAGTTTGCGACGCATCTTGCATCGAACATTTGATATGTATACATAAGTCGAACATTCTTTATTCACATTGCAAATGATTCTTCATTCATTTTAGACTTTGTCTTATCTGAATTTCGAGAGTTTCAAATCATGAAAAAAGTACAAAGTTTGAATTCTCGAAACTCGAAACTTTTTTGGGTTATAAGGTTTCGACGTTCCGAATAACTCATCCTTTTTCATTTAACACTTAATTTGTTTTCCTCAAAAACTACTAAATGATAAAATAGTTTTTCATCCTCTAAAGTAAAGTCGTAAAATACAGATGTAAAATTAACATTTATTTCATGTAAATTTCAATTTTTCGTGAATCTAATAATGATAATTATGCAACATTAATATCTTACATTAAATTTGCAAATCATTCTTACATATTATAATTTAAAAAACGTAATTTTATTTACATAACGTAATATATTCTAAAATTAATAATATATTACAACAAAAACATATAGTGACGACGCTATACAATACAAAAATATTATAAATTTACTTCTTGAAACTCACAGAAAATATTTACATTTTCATATAGTATGTAAGTATCAAGTATAAAAATATTGAAAAACTGTATGAACTAATATTATTGTATATATCATATGTTTTTATTTAAAATGTTAACCTCATTTTTATCATATGTTATTAACTGGTATAAATTATTGTGGCAGTGTAGAAACTGGGTGTTTTGAATATTCTTAAATTGTTATTATAACCTGTTCGTACCATTTTTTGATATATTCAGTTGTATTTTTATTTATCCTTAAAATTCTTATGATTTATTATTATTCTATTATATTTAAAATTATTGATTTTATGACTAGTAGTTCATAGAAATAAACTTATACAATAAGATTAAATACAGCATTCTCCATTTGACCAAAAAATATGGATTTCATTTTTAAATAGTCAACAACAAATAGGCTGTGATTATTTACAAAATGAGAAACAGAATTATACTTGATGAAGATGATTTAAACTTTTGTTGTAGCTAATAATTTAATATAATGTGCTTTATGAGTTATTTCAAATTCCTGTGCTGGTAAGAAACATTGTGTCTGTATTCTGGGATGTCTCACTCTTCTCAAAATGCTTCTACCAATTAGTACAAACGTGATTAAAAGAACACAACTAGCTCCGATTATCGCTAAGACAATTAGCTCCGTATTTTGCTTAAGGCCTTGCACTTCGACGCAACGTAATCTATCTTGATTATCTACAAAGTTTGCGATAACATCTTCTTCACTGACTTCATCAAGACTTGCGCAAACTTTGTAATGACCAGGTAACAGTACAGCTAGCGTTACAAACGTTAAACTGCAATTCAGTTTTCGCTTATTTACTGCAGATTCAGCATCAAAAACGATGACAGAAAGTTCGCATTCAGGAAGATTCAACTTTTTCGAGATTGATAAGCTAACGTCGACGTACATGAAGCCTTGGTCAGATACGTTTACGTGTACTCCAGTTATCCTGGTGTCTAATGACGAAAAAGACCCTGATACTGCAGTTTCTTGATTTTGTTGTAACAATACTCGTTTAGATTCTTCTAATGTAATTACATCACTGCAACCTAAACCTAAAGAAACATCATCATAGCTATTTGGTACTAGGAGTACTACGCAATAGCGATATTTATGGCTCGGTTGTAAATGTAATGAAGCAGGTATGGCGATCGGAAGTGAACAAGGATCTTTCATCATACGTGAATCGCAATGAAGAGAACTAGAATCTGTTTGAACTTCACTATCACCTATGGTTTCATATACAATTAAGGTATCACATGTATATCGCTCTGCGCATGGTTCTACATGCCATAAGAGATTAATACCGATTGATTTGTCATAATGAAATTCTTTCAGTGTTAATTGAGCACCAGCTAGAGGCAATCTGGTCATGATTGGTGGTATCGGCTCACCACAAAGGAGGCTACCGGGAGAGACTTGCGTCAGTATGCCATTTTCCAAAGCGGGTGGTGTTGCACAGACCGCTGAAGACTTATCTTCTTCGTTCAAGCTAGAATTACTTAACCAATTGGCGAATTCTAGAAGCGTACAATCACAATTCAAAGGATTGTCGGCCAAGGAAAGTTTTGTAAGCTGTAACTTGGACGTCGGTACGTCGCTTGCCACCATTGTGATATCATTATCATCGAGACGCAAATCTTGGAGACTTTTTAATGGTACCACCAAGTCAGCAGTCAGAGATCGCAAAAAATTATGCGTCAAATCCAGAGCTATTAATTTTTCTAAATGTGCCAAAGAAGCACTGGACACCGCAACGATGCGATTATTTGCTAGATCCAGTCTTGTGAGAGTCGATAGATATTTGAACGAATGGTCCTCCAATACATCAATCTGTATAAAAAGTAAAAATGAATAATAATTCAATACTTATGAATTCAAATTCATAATTTATGAAATTCCGATATGATTGTTACCTGATTGTGGCTTAAACTCAGATAAGTTAAATTCCTTAAACCCACAAGAGCTCCTTGCTGTACATTTATTAGCTCGTTTTCAGACACAGTTAAGAAACGTAATCGTGGCATTTGAGGAAGAAGATTTGGACCCATTGGACCCAACAATAGATTGTTGGACAAATCAAGTTCCTCTAAACTTTTGAGTCCTCTGAGCGCTGAGAGTGCTGATACGCTTAAACGATTACCGCGTATCCTCAACGAACGTAGCAGAGGTAGTGCGACAAAAGCTTGAGGCGATAATTGCGACAACAAATTGTCACACAAGTCTAAGTATGTCAAATTTGATAAGCCCTGAAATATTTTAATAAATGTTTCATCAACTCTGTTGACTACTTTTAACCCTGCTACGGACTTCGAATCTTTTTTATCCAATTTTCTTTTTTTTTTAATTTTACGTTTTCCAAACAATATGTACCGAAATTAAACTCGTTAATGTGTCGTAAAAGTAAGCATATTCTTAATAATTTCGATACATATTTTTCAAAAAATGTAAGGTTTTTAAAAAACAAAAAAAA